CAGCCCTACAGAAAGCACTAGAAGGGAAAATTCAACCCAAAGAAGCTCAACACATCCATGAAAAATCAAGCAATAGATAATCCCACACCAATATACACCACAGAAGGACAACACAACACAACCACAAAAAATAACAGGAATTAACAATCACTGGTCATTAATATCCATCAATATCAATAGTCTCAACTCACCTATACCTGGAGATCTCTGAGTAGGCTTCAGATTTTGACAGTTGATGAAAGATACGACAAGCATTAATGTGTGGGTGAAAATTTGGTGAAATTCTGAGTGAAGTTTTAGTTAAAGTTGGTTGAACTTGGGATTGACTAGGAGGCCAAAGATTTAAAAAGCAGAAGATTCTCTCAAGACACAAGTTGTGTGATAATAGTGTGTTTTGTGTCTTTTTGTGTGTTTTTTTTTAACAATATTACATTTTATTTGATTTGTATTTTGGGGGGATGGGTGGGGTGGGGAAGGTGTTTTTTTTTTCTTTCTCTCTTTTTTTTTTTTTAACATCCTGACTACAGTTTCCCCTCCTTCCTATCCTCTTAGTTCCCCCTCCCCCCACATTCACTCCTCCTCCATTTCTATTTAGAAAAGGGCAGGCCTCCATGGCTATCAACCAAACATGGCATCTCAAGTTGCAGTAAGACTAGGCACCTCCCCTCATAGTAAGGATCGCTGGATGAGGCAACCTAGTATGGGGGAAAGGGTGCCAGAAGCTGGCAAAGAGTCAGAGACATGCCCCTGCTCCCGCTGTGAGGAGTCCCACAAGAAGACCAAGCTACACAACTGTCACACATGTGCAGAGGGCCTAGGTCAGTCCCATGCAGGCTCCCTGGTTGTCGGTTCAGTCTCTGTGAGCCCCTGTGAGCCCAGGTGAGTTGGTTCTGTGGGGTTCTTGTGATGTCCTTGACCCCTCTGGTTCCTACAATCCTTCCCCTCTTCTGCAGGGTTCCCCAAGATCCACCTAATGTTTGGCTGTGGGTCTCTGCATCTGTTCCCATCAGTTGCTGGATGAAGTCTCTCTGATGACGATTGGGCTAGGCACCGATCTATGAATATAACAGAATATCATTAGGAATCATTTCATTGACTTTTTTTTCCCTCCAGTCTTGTTTGGTTCTATCCTAGGTCTCTGGGCCGTCCAGCCTCTGTGTCCTGATGCTTCAGGCAGTGTCAGGCATGGCTCCCTCTTGTGGCCTGGGTCTTAGGCTGGACCAGTCATTGGTTGGCCACTCTCACAATTTCTGTGCCACCTTTACCCCAGCACATCCTGTAGGCAGGACAGACTGTAGATCAATGGTTATGTGGCTGGGTTGGGGTCCCAATCCCTCCACTGGAAGTCCTGTCTGGTTACAGGAAATGGGCAGTTCAGGCTCTGTATCCCCCGTTGCTAGGAGTCTTAGTTATGGTCACCCGCATAGAAGCCTTGGAATTTCCATTGCACTAGGTTTCTAGCTCATCACCAAGATGCCCCCCCACTCAATTCCAGTTGTCTCTCCCAGTACTCTCTCCCTCCATCCTCCCCCGCCCCGACCTAATCCCTCCTCTTCCTGTCTCCCCGACCACCACCTCCCTCCACCCTTGATGTCTCTTCTATTTCCCCTTCCCGGGGTGGCGGGGGGGGGGGGGGGGGAGGAGAGGATCCATGCAGTCCCCCCTTGAGCCCTCCTCATAACTTAGCTTTTTCTGGGCCTGTGGATTGTGGCATAATTATCCTTTACTTTACAGCTAATATCCACTTATAAGTGAGTACACACCATGTTTGTCTTTCTGGATCTGGGTTACCTCACTCAGGGTGATTGTTTCTAGTTCTATCCATTTGCCTGAAAATTTCATGATGTCATTTTTTTTAACAGCCGATTAACATTCCATTGTGTAAATATACTACAATTTCTTTATCCATTCTTCAGTTGAAGGACATCTAGGTTGTTTCTAGTTTCTGGCTATTATGAATAAAGCTGCTATGAACATAGTTAAGCAAGTGTCCTGTGGTAGGATGGAGCATCCTTTGGGTATATGCCCAGGAGTGGTATAGCTGGGTATTGAGGTAGATTGATTGCCAATTTTCTGAGAAACTGCTATATTGATTTCCAAAGTGCAAGTTTGCACTCCCACCAGCAATGGAGGAGTGTTCCCTTGCTCCACATCCTTGCCAGCATGAGCTGTCACTTGTGTTTTTGATCTTAGCCATTCTGACAGGTGTAAGATGGAATCTCAAAGTAGTTTTGATTTGCATTTCCCTGATGGCTAAGAAGGCTGAATAAGTGTTTCTCAGCCATTTGAGATTCCTCTGTTGAGAATTCTCTGTTTAAATCTGTACCTCCATTTTTTGATCGGATTATTTGGTTTTTTGATGTCTAGTTTCTTGAGTCCTTTATATATTTTGGAAATCAGCCCTCTGTCAGATATGGGGTTGGTGAAGATCTTTTCCCATTCCGTAGGCTGCCGTTTTGTCTTATTGGCAGTGTCCTTTGCCTTACAGAAGCTCCTCAGTTCCAGGAGGTCACATTTATTAATTACCTATCTTAGTGACTGCACTATGGTGTTCTGTTCAGGAAGTTGTTTACTGTACCAGCGCATTCAAGGATAACCCCCCCCCCCTTCTCTGGATTTATGTTGAGGTCTTTGATCCATGTGGGCTTGAGTTTCATACAAAGAATCTTTTTTTCTCTTCTTTTTTGGTTTTTTGTTTTGTTTTGTTTGTTTGTTTGTTTTGGTTTTTCGAGGCAGGGTTTCTCTGTGTAATTTTGGTGCCTGTCCTGGATCTCACTCTGTAGACCAGGCTGGCCTCAAACTCACAGAGATCCGCCTGGCTCTGCCTCCCAAGTGCTGGGGTTAAAGGCATGTGCCACCACTGCCCGGCTCATACAAAGAATCTTAACAGATCTTTACTTTTTAAATTTATTTTATGTGCATTGGTGTTTTGTCATGGGTGTTGGGTCTCCTGAAACTGGAGTTACAGACAGTTGTAAGCTGCCATGTGGGTGCTGGGAATTGAACCCAGGTCCTCTGGAAGAGCAGTTAATACTCTTAACCGCTGAGCCTCTCATACAAAGAATCTCATCAGACCCAGAACATACAAGGATCACATGAAACTAGCCTCCCCGTCATTTTCATGCCATTCTGATCCCAGGCCATGTAGTTTCTATCTTACTGAAGGTCTGGGGAGCCAGTGAATCAGAGTAGGGGTCAGTCCCTTATCCTGGGACCAGGCAGAGGCAGGTGCTCACTCCCTCCATATCCTTCAGGTGTCCTTGAGTGGAGGCCTTATTCCCAATGATCCTGAAGAAGTCTGTGTCAGTGTGGAGCCCCTGCTTTTGGCCCCTGGAGGCTTCTTTGGGGTCTCAGCAGCCACCAGCATCCTAGCAGGTGAGGACCTTACCAGGTAGGTAAGAGCGAGGGCTGTGTTTGGTGATGACAAGACCTTATTGCAGCTTCTAAAACACTTTTGTATGGGGTCAACTACTTCATCAGGTGGGCTGGGCTGGTCACACTCCCTCCCTGGCTTCTCAGTCAGGAGGCCACATTGGCCTTGAAGAGCTATTGAAAGTCTCAAATGGGACACCGGGAATGTCACTGTGTTGGTGAGTGCTCAAGCAGCATTCAGATCCCAGGTGTGGTGGTGCTTGCCTGCAATCACAACACTTGGGGGACAGAGGTGGGCAGATCAGTTCAAAGTTATCCTCTGCTACACAGCAAATTCAGAGGTCAGCCTGGGCTACACGAAACCCTGTCTCAAGAAACAAAAAGGTCTCAAATGAGATAACACACGAGGAATTTGGTATTCTAGTATCAATATTCACAAACCCACTTTACTAGATACTGTGGGATGATAAAAAGGGGGACCGCACGAGCTACAGTATGGAACTGGAACAGCGGGATGTCGTGCAGTGGAGAGCCCGTGGAGGGTCCTGAAGCTGAAAAGCAGGCTGCAGCCAGAGTATGGGAGTCTCGAATGCCAGGACTTTAGTCTTTCAACCCTGGGTACTGGGGAGCCATGGAAAGTTCCTAAGGAGAGAAGAGTGACCTGGTTACAGGCTGGGGAAGCAGCTCTCTGTGGTCTGCTGCATGACTGTTGGGCCCCACTCTGGCTGTGTGTGGTGCAACCCACACATCCCACACACTTGTGTATTTGACCTCATACCTTCCCCATGAGACAAAGGTCCGAGTTGCCCAGAGCCACACAAGCCTCTTGTTTTCCTGGCAGATAGTAGAGTCTGGATGGATGGGCTGCTGGGTGAAAAGCTCCTTATCTCCCCTTCATCTGTCCCTCTTCCAGATGACCACGATGTCCTGTCCTTCTTGACCTTCAGTTTGAGGGAACCAGGTCCAGAGGTAATGCCAGCCATTTGTGCCTGGGAGAGGTAGCTCTGAGATGTGGCTCTCCTCAGGTGCCTCCACTCACAACAGGGCATCCTTAGACCTGCCATTCAAGTTCTCATCCCAGCTAGCTCTCTGAGCTCTGCTAGTCAGGCCTTGGGCTGGGTAGTGTAGGGGCCAGGGTTCATCCTCTAGGCTTCCTAGGTGGCATTCACCTTTAAGTCCAGCACTCAGGAGGCAGAGGTGGGTGGATTTCTGTGAGTGCCAGGCCAGGGATGTACAGTTAGGACCTTGTCTCAACAACAACAAAACAAAACCACAAAAGCCCAGGGTAGGGGTTGGGAGGGGGAAGAGAAGGAACGCTAAAGAGGGGTCTGAGCCAGCAAGGAAGGGGGAGAAGGATGCCTGGAGGAGATGAGCTTGATTCAATGAGCACCATACCTAAAGGCTTCAAATGTCCGAAGACCTGAGCTCACAGTGGGTCAAGAAGGATATGAGGATGTGGTAGATATGGCTGCAGGGCTCTATGGGGGCCTGGTGGTTGAGCTGTGGGTTCCTCCTTGGTCCCAGTGAGTATGTGGTCAGGGAGGAAGACTGGGCTCCCAGGGGCCCTGCCCCCCACAGGACTCCCATGCATTTGGGTTTGACTTTTTATCTTTCTTTTCCAGGTGGCCCCCCAGACATTCATTGAGAAGGAGCAGTTCCGCCTGGCTAGGAAGCTGGAAGGGCTGCAGGCAAGGCTGGCCCTGGGCACCAGCCAGGACAGCATTCCACCACTGGACTCCGAAGTCCAGGAAGAAGGTAAGGACCCAGGGAGCAGGCAGGTGGGGCCATAGCACAGTGGAGGGCCACAGGAACCTTAGAACCCGAAGTCCATTAACCAGTGGAGAAGTGGAGGCCTAAGGAGGCTGTATCTAACCTGGGCCAAGTATTCTGACCTGTCCCCACAAGACCTGCCCCCAAGACCCATTTTCTTTTCCAACGTGCGTGCGTGCGTGCGTGCGTGCGTGCGTGCGTGTGTGCCACAGCATTTGTGTGGCAGTCAGAGGACACCTTTGTGGAACCTATTCTCTCCTTCCACCTTTACATGGGTTCTGGGGGCCTGGGGATCAAACTTACATTGTCCAGTTTTCCTGGCAAACATTTTTCTGTTGCTCACCCTACTTGCCAGCCCCCAGACCCATTTTCCAGGGAAGAGTCTTAAAAGCAGAATCTATACCCCCTCACGCACCACTCCAAAGCAGATCTACTGCCGCACCCCATCGGCCTTTCCATCTCGCCTCTGCCCCAATCTCCAGGGGAAAGGTTCCTTGACCTGGAGAAAACACTGGGCAGACAAAGCCAGATCCTGCAGGCCCTCCAGGCTCTCTCCAGGCAGTTGGACCAGGCTGAGAGGCAGTGGAAGCAGCAGCTGGGGTCTACAGTCCAAGTCAGGCCTGAGGGAGGCTGGGTGAGTGACCTTGGGCATACTAGTTTCCACCCACAGCTTGAAAGAATAGGGGCTATCCAGAGCTAGCCTGTCAAAGCTTGGAGAGAAAGGAGAGCAGGTCACAGGATGCAGCAGGGTGGTAAGTGAGAGGACATTAACACATAGCAATTGTCCTGGAGCCACAGGGCTGGGCTGCAGAGAAGAGATGCCAGGTATTTGGAATCGGGTCTATAGACGAATGGCAGAAATAGACTAGGCGCTAATTTGCATATGGCTTCACGTGTGATTTGCATCAGACTTGCTTAAATGCTCAGTTGCACCAGAATCCTCATTTCATCTCTGCTGCCACCCTGGCTCCACCCCCAGGTGTCATTCCCTAGGACATACTCTGACTTGGGGAGCAAAAGCTAAACCCAGGCAAAGTGCTGGCTCGTGGGCAGAGGGAGCCAGCCGCTCACACAGGCTTTGCTGGGCTCTGGCAGTCCAAGGCTTTAACCTTTTGTCCTCAGCCCAGAACAGTCTAGGCTAGGCGGCTGGAGTGACACAGAGGGAAGGCCCACCCACATTCCAGGTATCTCTGAGACTACCTTCATGTCCTGGACTCCACTTGCATGATTCCACTCATCCTCACAAGTGTCAGCTGTCTTTCCAGGTCACTCTGCCAGACCTGGACCCATGTACTGGCCCTCAGTTTGGATCAGAGCCTAGGAGAAAGACACAGAGAGGATTGGGTTGGGCTTCTGCCTCAGTGAGGGGGCAGGGACACTTTTTAAAAGGAGAAGGATTTGTGGAAAGCCTAGAGGGCCCTTTGGGGAGAAACACCACATCTTTGGTGTAGAAGGAGGGTCCTCCAGAAGCCCCAATGGGTAAGTTCTATGGGAGATTCAGTGTGCCTCAAGAGAGGAGAACCATGGCCTTTTAATAAGGCTTCTGGAAGAAGAGTGAAGTGTCCCTGGGGAAGATGGACTCTGAGGAGAGAAGCACTGTCCTCTGGACACGACATAAGAGCTGGCCCTCCTGTAGGACACTGCCAAGGTCAGCACCCTGCTCTATGGACAGCGGACTCTGCTCCAGGCCCTGCAAGAGATGAGGTAAGGGATAGAGTGAGGAGGGGGAGTGAGAGGGAAGAAAGTCTCCTCTGTCAAATGCCGGCCCCCAGTGTGGGGCTACAACCCTAGCTGGCTTTTCCCCTGCCTGCTGGGACTGTGGACTCAGGACCTTACCCACTGACCATCTCCTCAGTCCCTGGGGGCATATAGTTGGACAGAGGTTTTGGAGGAAGCACAGCCAAGATGAGGCCCTCTGGAGGAAGTGATGTGAGCTCATCTCGCCTCCGGTGTCCTAGAATCTCCCTCTGGCTCACCCTTGCCTGTGGAGCTGCCCATAGAGCTCTGGGGGTGGAGAGAGCCCTTGCACATTATGGTTTCTGTGGCTGTATACCCTCCATCTAGATGCCTGGGGGTGGCAGAGGGCAAGAGCCGGAGAGGAGTTAGTTCCCCTGGGCTAGACATGAAAAGCAGAGCCCAGAGAGCCTGTCCATAGCTGACACTTTTAGAGAATTCTTTGCACATGCTAAAGTTGTCTCAGGATCTAGGGAGAAGTTTTTTAGAGTGAAAAGACCAGCCCCAAAGACAAGACTATCCATTGTATCTATGCTTTACCATGTGCTAGCCCTGGGGGATTATGGGAGAAGATTAGGTAATTTGGGTACAACCAAAGAGGGTAGTGGATCACCTTTCTTGATTTCCATGCCCCACCATACCACCAGGAAAGCAGCTGCCCAAATGGCTTCAGGAGCCCAGGTCGTCTACCTGCCTGTGGGCACAAAGCATCACTTTTTTGAGCTGGACCAGATCCTTAGCCTCCTGCAGAAGGACCTCCGGGATCTGGTGGTAAGAAGTAGTGGATTGTACAAGGGCCTCATCCTTGAGGTCTGGTCTCTGCCACCCTTCTCCCAATGCTTCTACAGAGCATCTGTCCAGTACCCTAATGGGCATATCTGTATGTGCCTACACATAGACATGAAGGGACACAGATCTCATCTTTGTTCTCTCTCTCTCCCTCTCTCTCTCTCTCTCTCTCTCTCTCTCTCTCTCTCTCTCTCTCATACTCTCCTCTTTCAGAAAATGACAGCCAAGGCTCCCCGCCCATCTGGCTGGCTCTTAGGAACGTCGGCATGTCTTCGGACCAGCATCTTCCTGTTTTTCCTCCTCATCCAGACTGTAGGCTTCTTCTGCTACATGAACTTCAGGTGGGCCTTCCCACGGGCAGGACTTCCCATACCACCTATATATCTTGGTTCTGGTCTACAACCACTGAACTTGAAATAGGGGACCCCGAAGCTCAGACGGGAACTACCCAGTTCACCAGAGGGCTGGAAGCAGAATATAGACCAAGGACACCTCACTTACCAAGCACAGTCACCTACTCAGACCCCAGTCCCATCTGGTCCTGCCCCACAGCGCTCACTCTAGAGCAAACATCTGAAAACTAACTGGTAGCCAGACCTTATGTTGCCAGTGCTGTGATGAATGGAAGCTTGGAGACTTGGGAAAAGGCAACTGAATCATTTTGGGGGTGGGGTTTGTGGAGGGGGATCAGGGAATTGACCTGGAAAGAATATTTGATTTGGGTCATCAAAGTGACTAAGAGTTTTTCAGTCTGACAAAATAGGTAAAGGCATTGATGCAGAGGGAACAGCATCAGAAAAAGCATGGAGGCATGAAAAAAGCATCTTTAGGGGAAAGAAAAAGGCAGCAAACTAATACTGTTGAAGTAAAGGGCAGGACCAATTTACTAGATTGGGCAAGGAATCTGGGTGTTCCGGGTTAGAAATGAATGCCTTTAATCTCAGCACTTGGAAGGCTGGGGCAGAGTGATGCTGAAATCTGGGCCAGCCTGGACTGCATAGTAAGCTCTTGTCAAAAGAAGAAGAAGAAAATGTATGCATAAGAGTGCAATTTTGGCACTAAGCCACCCAGAAAGACTTCAAATGCCAGGGTGAAATGCGAACGTATTTGGCATGTCAAGGAAGCCATAGAAGGTCCCAGAATATGGGAGGCTGTGGTACATGGAGTATTGAGAGGCAAGTGTGAGTCTTGGTTTCAGAAGGGAGACTCAGTAACCTTTCCTTTCTGACAGCAGACAGGAGCTGGACAAGAGGTTTCAGAAGTACCTGTCCATGGGAAGCCTTCCTCTAGAACCTGCATTGCCCACCCCTAGGACACTAGGGGCTCTGAGGAGACAGCCTGTCCCCCTGAGCATGCAAGCTTGACCCATGTCTTACGGGGAGACAAATGGGGGATGGAGGATTTGGCCAGTGTCCTTCCTGAGTGCCCACATCTTAGCTTTCGGCAAGTTCATCATATTAAAGGTGAAGTTCCTCTCACTGTGCTCATCCCTTCATTTACCTTCCAGACTCACATAGTCTCTGCTAGCTTCCACCTACTCTGGGTAGGTAGCAGGAATAGGGTCCAAGCAGGCAAGAAGGCCAAGGGCAGATACCCCTCAGCCTTTTCCTCTGGGCTACTGAAGCAAAGGGAGGCAACTGGGCAAAATTCTGTCCCTTAACTCACCAAGGACAAAGAGAGGTCCCTGGGTTCCCTCTGGCTCATCTTTTCGGTACCCCCAAACAACTCTCCCCTTGCCTACTCCCCGAGGCTCTAGGGACAGCAGGGCAGACACGTGACAGAGGAACTGAGTGCAAACTCACCGAACCTTATAACCGGGATTCCTGCTCACGCTCTTGAGATCTCCTCACTTCTCAGCCCTGAGTGCTTTCAGGTAGCTGCTAGGGTCAGCAGATTGGAGAGGTAGGATGGAATGGGACCCAAGGCTGGGGGTGTTTGCCCTTGATGCTACCGGGCGCTCCAAGCTGAAGTCCTGGTTCTCGATGACCCAGGAGTAGAGGATGTTGCAGGGACCAAGGAACACATCAGCGCAGCCCCTTCTCCCAGGGCAGCGACCCCACCACCGCAAACCCTGATCAGCTGTCAGCAGTAGCCAGCAGAGCTTGGCTGGCGCTAAAGGAGGCACGTGGGAAAGGCGGGAGTGAGGAGCGGGCACGTGGTCCAGGCTTCTCAGCCCCGTGCATGCCCCCCGCCACCCCTCCCCCCCGTGAGGAGGGGTTTGGGAAGGTAGGGGCGGTGCGCAAAGCGTGGGGTGCGAGCGCGCAGCCGGAGCTGTCCCCGGGACTTAGTGCTGAAGTAGGCGCTGACGAACCAGGCGCCTGGTGCGGTGGCCAGAGAAGACCATGGCGTTCATGGTGAAGTCCATGGTGGGTGGCCAGCTGAAGAACCTCACCGGGAGCCTGGGGGGCGGCGAGGACAAGGGGGACGGAGACAAGTCTGCAGCGGAAGCACAGGGCATGAGCCGAGAAGAGTATGAGGAGTATCAGAAGCAACTGGTGGAGGAGAAGTAAGTGGAATTCCTTCTTCGCTCCTCTGACCCACACACAAACACACGAAGGCTGCTCTGCCCACCCCTGGGTCAGAGCTCCCCTTTACACCCCCTAAACATGGTAAGAGGGCGGGAGGTGCCCTCTAGGCTTCTTTCACAACCGTCCCATTTCAAACCCAGGACCCTGTTCCAGCTTCATCCTCTGGCCCAGAGGAAGTTGGGGGAAGGGCGATGAGTGCCTTGGGGGGAGGGTGCACGTGCATCTCTGATGAAATAGGTAATCCCTTAATCCGATCTGGTCTTAACCGCCTGTCTTCCAACTGGGGCTCCTCTGAGCCTGAGGCTGTAAGAAAAGTGCTTTTCATCTGGCAGGGCACAGAGTCATGGGGCCAGATCCACCATGGGGATATTCATAGATACTGAGCCTACTGTGTGCCGTAGTTCTAGGGCAGAGCAGAGGTAGAGTGAGCTAGGGTCTGAACTTTGGGGTGAGGTTGCGCAGTTCAGAGCCTCGTTTTGCTTACTAGCTGAGTAACTTTAGGAAAGTCACTTAACATTTCCGTGACTCCTTTCCCCTTCTGGAAAATGGGAGTGGTGGTCACAATATGTGCTTTACATATCTGTGAGAGCTGAATGACTTCACTCATGTTAACCCTCCAGTACAGCGCCTGGCACATGGCACATCTTCATGAAATGCCCTTATTGCCATTTTATTTAGTCCTGGTTGTTTTGTGAATTGTGCCAAGTTTCATCCCCACTTTACAGAAGGGGAAGATAAGTGATTTACTGAAGGGCATACCAAAAGGAGCAGTGGAGCCATGGGTCCAGAGTACCCCACACACACACACCCTTGCACACATATTTTCACTGCTCCTCCACAGCCTGTCAGAAAAGGAACGACAGACCCCAGTCAGCAATTGCAAAGGACAACTCTCTCTTGGCAGGAATGGAGAGTACAGAGGAAGGACTCTGAGATGGTTTGGTGGCAGAAGCTGAGTTGGCCAGTCTGAGGTGACTGGGCACAGGCCAGCTGGGGATTGGAGAACCCATACGGCCTCCTCCCAGGTCTTCCAGACCATCTCAGTCCTTCCCTTGCAGACTGCCCACACCTTCCCTCAACCCCTGAGGTGACTTCACAACTGGTGTCCTTTTCCCACGCAGGATGGAGCGAGATGCACAGTTCACGCAGAGGAAGGCAGAACGGGCCACACTACGGAGTCACTTCAGAGACAAATACCGTCTGCCCAAGGTATCCAGGGTCTAAATTGTGAGGTGCTACTGGGAGCTGGACTTAGGAGCTGGGCTTCCTTGGGGTCCCTCAGCTCTCAGCCCATAAAGACTCACAAAGTGCTTGATTACATTTTTTCCTTTTCTTATTCATTTACTCACTCACTCATTCATTCACATACTCAGAGCTGAGACGGACCCTGGACCTTGGGAAGCTTACAGGTTTGTGTTTCTGGAGTCAGTCCTTCTTTTCTTCCCTTCCACCTCTCCAACCTGGGTCAAGCCTGACCCATGACGTCACAGAGGAGTCAGAAAGAAGACCTTATAAGGGGGTGGGGGAGCTCTTGTGAGGCTGTTGAATACGTGTGGAGAGCTGGCAGGGAGAGAGAACAGGACTCTTCTTTCCTGTGCACCAGGCACTTAACCTTCACGTCCTCACCTGACCCTCTCCATAAAGTTGCTAGATAGTTGTCACTGCACGTATGAAAAGGGAACCTGAGCTCAGGGAGACAAAGGGACACCTTCGGTCATACAGCCAGTGGGTGAGAGTTCAAGCTGTGACCGTTGGGCTTCTGCTAACTCCAGCCCTCAGGCTACTTTCCAGGATATGGGAGTCTACCCACAAAGAACAAAGCACCCCCTTAGCCTTTGTCTCAGAAGCCCCTCCCCCATGCTTCCCAGGATGCTGCAGCACTACATTAGCATACAAATGTGCCACTCCCACGTGGGACAAGCCACTTCCCAGAATATCACCCTTGTGATATTGCCCAGAGCCTTGGCCTTGATTCTCTGCTGGAGTTCAGAGACGAAATATGTTGTATCACATTTCCTCATCCAACACGTGTTTACTGAGCCCCTGGCCGCTCTTGACTCCCCACAAGTCTCTCAAAGGCAAACTTTCTGGTTCAGAAAGTCTGCATTATTGAAAATCCAGGTAGCAATGGGGTCATGGCTCAAATGCTTACACTACACATGTAAGAGACCTTACTCTGCTATGCGGGAATTCTGAGTCTAGCAAAGAAGGCAAGACTTGGGTGCGACTGTGTAGGACACAGGAAAAGACACCAAATACACCTCCAGAGCCCTCGGGGAGCGTGGCTGCTCTCAGGAGGTGCAAAAGGAGTCCAAATGTTGGAATAAGTGACATAGGTCTGAATCTAGCTTACCACTTCCTTTCCCATGTATGATCTTAGGCAAATTGTTTAAAATCTCTG